ATGATAAGCGAGCGAGCGTTGCACGGACCATGTCGAACGTGCTGGGTTGAGGCTGCCCGCGGAGCGAGAGCAAGTTCAGGTCTCACCTCTGGCCAGAGCTGTGGATGGCTGGAGAGTGCAGAGTGGAGAGAGTGGGGTCTGTGTTTGGGTTGGGGACTGGGTCTGGGTCTGGGTCTGGGTCTGGGGTCTGGGGTCTGTGTGTCTGCCAATGCAGAGGCATTCTTAATGGCCTGTGGATGGGATTGTGGCCAGAACGCATCCTGCCTCCTTTTTTGACCATTGACGTTGTTGTACTGTTTGCTGATCTCGGCGCGATCAGCTTCATGACTCTGGCTTGTTTGGCTTTCCACCATATTTAAAACCATTTCATTTTCTGGGGGCCAAAGTGTGAATATAATTTAATATGTTTGTGTCTGTCTCTCTCACTCTCACTCTCTCTATCTCTTTCTTTTTCTGGCTGCCTCTTGCTGTGTGTGAGTGCAATTTCCAATCCGGCTGCCTGTCCCGCGCCCCACTTGGCCCACTCGCCGATATTATTTATTATGCTTGATTGGTTTTCAAGTGATCATAAAGTAAATGATCGTCGTTTTGGGTCGCAGACCTGGCCCCGGCCAGTCTGTGGCAATTGTGGCGCTGTCCATTGCCATTGAGCCGGCTCCGGCTCCAGCTCCGCTGTGGCGTTAATATGTAGATTTCTGCATTGGGGAGGCGTTAGTTGAAGATTTACGCGCCGGCCCATGAATTGTGAATTGTGGCAGCCTTTCCATAGACAAGGCCCGGGGTCCTGACCCTGTCCATATGTGTACATGCGCATATAGTATATTGCTGGAATGGCGATAGCTTCATTTGCTGCAGACACCTTGCATTCCAATGCCCATATCCTGCTCAACACCCACACGCAGCGCGCTTCTCCGATTTGGCATTAACATTTAATTGACATTGATGGTTGCGGCAACGGACAACTCTGAGAACGGCTGCCCGACTGCCCGTCTGCCCGTCTGCCGGCTGCCTGGCTACCTGTGCAGCGTGCTCGGCATGGCAATGTGCTCCGCATGGCTAGATATTATTAAAAATCATATCGGAGCACTGTGACAGCCGAGCTGCCTATGTCAGGCCTACTCATCTAGTCCTTGTCGCTAGTTGCCAGTGGACTGACATGAAGAAGACATACAAATAAATTTGTGGCACTTGCAGACATCAGCAGTGGGTGACTTACAGCAGTCACTGTATAAGAGAGAGCGAGAGGGAGAGAGAGAGAGAGAGAGGGCGAGGTCTTGCGTCTCTAGCGCCAATCTCTCAAAGTAGCTCAAAGTAAATGCTGAGAGTCAACGCCAAGTCAAGTCTTTGGGCGCTGCTTTCGATTCACATAAGCAACTGTGCCACTGTGTGTGTGTGTGTGCGTGGCTTGTTTATTTGTTGGAGTGTGTTTTGTTTTCGCTGCTTTAAATGAACGTTATTAAGAGATGCTTATCTCTGAGTGATTTATTCATTAAAAAGGCATTTATTAGTCAGAAACAAGCCAATGCCAATGCGTGCGCATGTGTGTGTGTGTGTGTGTGCGTGCTGGCTACACTCACCTGCACACACGCGCACAGCGACACCTCCACATGGCCGACACACATTTGAGCCGCTGCGGCTCGTTTGCCATGCCCGCTCGTCGCCTCATTTGTATGGCATTAAAATGCAAAAGCGTGTTTGTTCCTGGAAAAACTGCAAGCACATATGGCCGATAAGCAGGGCGTAGGGTGCAGAGAGGGGGAGGCGGTGTGTGGTGGCCGTCTGTGTATGTGTGTGTGTGTGTGCGTTTTATTGACTCGCATATTTCCATAATTTGATGTCTGTGTGCGGCTTTAATCACTTAATTAGAGAGTTTTTTAATTGTCTTTAGTTGCAGTCATTGCAATTTATGCAGAAGGTGTTCGCAGTTCGCGCACTTTGCGTGCCGCGCAGGAAATGTGACTTGCGGGCCAAGTTCGTGTCTTAAGTCTTTTGTTGCAAGGTGCCTGAAAGTGCGTGAGTAAAAACAATCCTCTAGCTGCTTAGTAGCAGAACTTTACTTTACTATTAATATGAATATATAGGATTGCTGATTGGAAGTACATCTATATATTTAGACTCTGATATCAATTTGAGTATTGCCTAAGCATCGACAATGGCCAGGCCAATGAAATGGCAGAGAACTGAAGCAAGGAGACTCTAGGCACGAGGCGATGCCATAAATATGCGTTAGCCCCTCTAGCGAGGTGAGGAGCAGAGCTGTAGCTGCAGTCGTCTGTTAATCACCTGCTCGCCTAGCTGGGCAATTGGCTTGGCCACGACGCAAGAGCCTGGTGGCTTCTTCGGTTTGGTGTCATAAGGAAGCGTCTAAATGATTCATAATTTATGCCTAGCTTTGTGGCTGTCCCTGCCATGGCCATGGCCATTCCCGTTCCCATACGCATTGCCAGAGTCATTCAGTTGGTCATTCAATGCTTTCGTTACTTCATTTTTTCAACTTGGCGTACTGGCTTGTGCCTGCCTGCTTGAATCATGCCCCCAGCTCTGCCCCACCCTGGCTTGTAATGCGTTATGGCTGCCACAATGCGTGGCCGTCATCGTCGTCGTCGTCGTCGTTGTCGTTGTCGTCGTTTGTCTGGGACGTTGATAGTTGAAAAAATTACTTACAAATTACATGCGTAGCTTATGCCCCCGTGCCGCCTTCAGCTTGTTTGCTTAATGTGCTTTGTGGCGGGCTACGACTGGGCTCATGTCCAGCCGGCACGGTGTCCGTCGTCGCTGCTGGTATTAGTATTATGTCCCGTGGCTGGGTCGTAAATTGCTTTTCCTAATTGAATTCTGAGCACTGTCACGCCGAGTGACAGTCAAGTGGGTGTGGGCCTCTGCCTCGGCCGTGCAAGAATGGATTTCAGATGCAGCAGCAGCGGCAGCAGCTGTGAATGAATAATCATTATCAGTCAGTCGATTATAAAACTCATTAGCCGAAAAGTCTTAATCATTTGAGTGCTTTCATCTCGCCCAGCTACAGTTTAATCTACATACTTAATAGAGTGCCAATTACGCCTGTTAAATAATGCAATTTTGCCATAACAATAATTATAATTGAGTTAACAAGCCGCTGGGCAGGGGGCGACCGTTGAAGGGTCTATGTAGCTATGTGGCTAGCTCGCTTTTAGGTTTTTGCGGAAATTTTCGCATGGTTTAAAATGCAGCACGAAGCCCGGCCATAAAGTGTAGTTGCGTTTGGCTTGGCCAAGTCGACAATTTAAAAAGCCAATTTTCACATAATACGGGAAACGTGAGCGAAAACCTTAAACACAATTGTCCAGCCCAGCGATTCCGACGCATGTGTGCGCGAATAGACGCTAATGCAAATGCGAATGCGAATACGAATGCGAATGCGAATGCGAATGCAATGCCTCTTGCCTGTTTGCTGTGGCTTGATCAGCTTATTAAGAAAACATTAACTCGGCTTGACCCAAATTTCGGTTGGCATACAAATTTCGAGCTGGCGCGCGCTTACCAACACTGGCCGAAAGCGTGCGAGCGGTGTTGCCATGTTTTCCAGCATACAAACGGCCAGATCTGGCTCGAAAGGCAAGCAAAAAAGGCTAAATCATATTATGTAATAAATGCATAGTAAATAAGCAGTTGTAAACTTGTTAAATTTTTTTTGTGCTCGATTATTATTTAATTGTGTAATTTTTTCTATTAATTGTAAACATACGGAATTTTTAAAAATTCTTGAAAAAAGCTGAAAATAGCCATTTCAATCCTGAAAGCTTGCCACTGTTTTCGAATTTTTGCCGTAGTCGGACCTTAAAAAATCCAAAAGCTAAAAAATGCCCCAGTGCATGCGAGTCAGCTGTCTGGCAACGCCTACGCAGAAGCAGAAGCCGGCGATACGCAATTAGATTTATGCAACGCGCAAGTTCACGTGCTTCTGCCCCACGCCACAATTGATTCGCACAGAAATGGGTCGCAAGAAGACAAAGGAGCCGAAGCAGATCAAAGTGGGCGACTTTGTGTTCGCCAAGGTGCGTGGCTTTCGCGCCTGGCCGGCGCGTGTGCTCCAGGAGGACGGCAACATCTACCAGGTGTATTTCTACGGCACTTGCAACGTTGCCAAGGTGCGCGGCTCGCAGCTGTTCGACTTCGAGGCGCACAAGGTGCGCTTTGGCCAGCTGAAGCAGAAGCAATACGGCGGATTTCGGGAGGCCATGGAGCATGCAGAGAAGTCGCTGGCGCGGCCACGTGAGGATGACGGCTACTTCAAGGCGAAGGTGGAGAGCGCCCGCAATCAGGCCACCGCATCCACCAGGTCCAGGAAGAAGAAGACGGACGATGCGATTGTGCCCTTCACACATATAACCGGCGACTCGGACTAGAGCGCCTGAATTACGCTGTTTAAGTTTGCTCAAAGTTGAAATGGAATTTATCAAATACATACAGATGGACATGTTTTCAGTTTATTTTTGTCGTCTTTTCTTTTCTGTTCTTTTTTTGGTAATTGCAGCAGCTTCGTGGCAATTTTGTGGCGATCCGGCGTCACGTGGCAATTAAGGATTTCGGGGCAGTTGTGTTTATCGCGTGGGCGTGTTTGCGCCCGTAATGGCCGCTGCGTGACGCAAACAAAGAGAATCTCTCTCTGTGTGTGTGTGTGTGTGTGTGTGTGTGTGTGCTGCACAGTTAATCAAAAAGCGTCTGATACACGTTTCGATTGCCGCTCAAATGGCAACGCATTAAATTGTGCGCCATCAGCAGAGTCCGAGTCACCCTGTGGACAGGGGCTTCAGCCTGCAGAGCGGGCATAGTTTAGCTTAATGGCTATCGTAAAAAGTGCGCTGGCCATCAAACAGCCAGATCCGTGCTGAATTGAAGGGCGAGGGAGCAGTTGCTGCTGTGTTCCTTGTGTTTAATATTAACAAATTATCTGAACCGCAGCAAATTAATCGCTGCGCAGTTGTTACACTGCCAGCATCTGTGGTGGCAGCTTGGCCAGATATATATTTGGGTTAACAAGACGGATGCTGTGGCTGCAACTGCTGTTGCAGTTGACCGCAAATCAGATTCACTAGCTCTGCAACGAGATTTGGCAGCAGCAACAGCTATGCTGTGGAGCTTTTAGTGCGTCCAACAGCTTGCATCATCTGCCTGCGATATCTTTTGCAGTCTGCAGCATCCTTGACAGCCGTCCTGTGTCGTTGCGGTCGGGCGCCTGGGGGCATGACGTTGCCTAGACAGATTTCTTAACGAGTTGACTATTTACGCATAATTCGTTCCACTCTCCTTTCGGTTTTTTTTTTTTTGGTTATGGATTTTCATTCGCACGATCCCTTGGCCCACGTCCAGGGCAGTAAAATGTCAAATTAATGTTACGACATGTCCAACAACTTTTGATGGCATTTGACAATGTAGACTTGGAAATTCCTGCAGGTGACGCAGTGCCCCTGTAATTTGTTTGGCCGCACGTACGCTGGACATGATGGAGCATTGTCAGCTTGTGCCTGCCCAGCATAAACAAAAACAAAGCGCGCCAAGGGACCTGCAACTGTAGAAAACTGGATGGCAGGTGGCTGACCACGGTGCGGCGGACGTGGAGCAGGAGTGCGCTGCCAGGGGCAGCCAGATCTGGCCACCAAAAGGTGTCAATGTGTGGGCATGTCGCACACGTGTGCCTTACAGCCCAAGGCCATAAATTTACTTTGTTTATTCGTTGCAGCCGCACGGCGACCACGGAAAACCAAACGAAACGGCCCAAATGGCCAAAAGCCTCTTGGCGGAAATTTGGTTAGGAAATCAAATTAAAATTTGCTAATTTATCAGACGTTTTCCAATCGTACCAACATGGACAGCTAATTGGTGCGAATATAAGAATGTATGTATGTATGTACATACAAACATGCAAACGGAAGTCTGTGCATACATACATATACATATGTACATATGAATGTGTGTGTATCTAGATATGTACATACAGATTTACACACACATTTGTGTTATCGCACAATTGGGTGGCTCGATAAATGATAGCAGAACAATAGCATGTTAATTAAAACTTCCAAGTGTCTGCAGGTTTATTTGGTCCTCGAACATTTATCAAATTTTGGCAATTAAATTTGCCTGGATTAGAGATCGCAGAATGCAGACTCGGGGGAAAACAAACACGATAACTAATTGGATAAAGTTAGGTGGATTCGACATATGAATTCTATAGTGAAATGAACACTGGTCAGCATAAAAATAAAAATAGCCCTAAATAAAATTTAAAATACATTTAATGACCAATTAATAAATAATATAATTAAGATTAATCGATAGTTTTTAATAAGCGACTATTGTCAATCAACGATAAGCAAATTCAAAATATTACACATCTCTATTTTATGGCGCACTATGCAACACTGTAACTAATAAAAGGTATGGTTTGCATACTGAGTACATTTGCAATCAGCTAATTTCCAGTCAATCCCCTGTTTTGTTGTACAGTGTAACCAATCGCAACATAATAAACTACAACAAATTTGATAGGTCAATCAGGTACTTAATGTTGCGCCTTTTTGACGGCCATTGTAACGCGCTCGATGCACACATGCGATTATTAGCGGTTACAGGAAGCCAACCCCTATTGGAAACGAATGGGGATCTACCCTCCCCTGAGTGCCCATTGTTCGCTTGCTACAATTCATAACTGTCATGTAATGTGTCACAGACGCAATCGATTCCAAGTCGGGCCACATTGCAGTCGCAATGCATAATCAAGTCGTAAATTTCTATGGGTCAGCAGGTGAAAACGACACGATTCGATGTCATCATTCATAATTGGATGTTTGCTCAAGCAAAGGCTTGCCATCAAAAACATGCCACACCAACGAGAAATAACGAATTCAATATGCAAAGCGTCTATGATTTTTATTTGCACTCGTGCGCACAGTGGGTGGCATCAACAATGGGACACAGTCTTTGTCCCATTCCCATTTCGTTGGATACTTTGCTGGCTGTAAACATTAATTGATTTGTGCCAAAAGCCGAACAACTTTTTAGGCCGTGCGTCGCGCCCCCAGCCCCTCGGCTAATTAAGTTATGCCCCAAATGGCAAATTAACATAAAAGTTTGCAGCATTAAAAATGATATTCACTTTATTATGCTCATATATTGACATCTGAGGTGCTCTTTTTTATGGTTACTTTGTGACAAAATTGATTAATGAACTCATTTATTTGTGTCGATAGCATATGGAGAATTTTTATGATACACTCAGAGAAATATCCGGAATTATTAAATGAATCTTGCTTGCCTGAACTTTGAATTTTGCGGCCAAACTTGCGCAATTTATGTTTTTATATTTATGTTTGTATTTATTTTTATTTTTTTTATTATTTTATATTTTGGACTGACAGCGAAAGTGGTTTTTGGGAGTCATTAAATTTAGACCATAAATATTACAGATTAGGCGGAGCTATTGTTTAACACTTTGGGATATGGGCGGCATAATCGAAAACTTTTTATGATCGCACTCAAAACTCAACTCATAAAAGGGATTAAAACAATAAAATAATAAAATATTACTCAATTATGTATAGTCATTTCTTTATTTCTGTTCAGTTTTTTATAAAGTAATAATAATTTTAAAATATAATTTGTTTGAGTGTGTAGAACTCATGGTAGCTATAGATGTTTCTCTTAGCTGTTAACGGTATTCACATGAGTTCGAATATTATTAATTCAGAACAACTATAATGGGCAATACTTGAATAGTTAACAGCAATCATTTGCGTGTCGAACACTCAATAGCATGGTCGTATAAACAAATGCATATATTATGGCTGAGTGCTATAAAATGCGTTGAAATATCTCTAATAACTAACATAAAACAGCTCGTAAAATGGCAATCGAATTATGGCCCGAGGCATCCAAAAACAGCCGTCTTAGAAAGTGGACATAAAATTTGTGAATGTTAACAGCATTCTTAACAAATTCATTTCGGCACGCATTCGGTATTTCGGGTTTGGGTCTGGGTCTGGGTCTGGGCCTGGGTTTGGGCAAGTCTTGACATGATAGATAGCTAGATGGATTTTCAAAGTTCAGTTGAGTCGAGTGAAACTGTTAACGTGACTGTCGCGTCTGATCCACCAATTAATTGATAGACCCATACAAAAATTGTGAAAGCTATCGCCTTGGTGTCCACAATGAACGCCTTCTATGCGCTTATAGCTCTATTTATAATTTTGGACATTCAGCATGTGTGTCTCTCTCTCTCTCTCTTTCTATTTCTCTCTCTCCCTCTCTCTCTCTGTTTCTCTCTCCATGGTGGTTTGGTGTCAGCTCTCTTTGTGTTTGTGCATGGTATGTATCTTGTTAATGGCCGTTTTTAAAATGCCATAAAATCGCTTTATAAGTCCATGATATTAATATGCACAACAATATTGGACATTATTATAATATATTGGGGAGTATCTAGCGCAGACAAAGGCGACCCAAATGAGCCCTAGACCGATCCAATCTTTGATATTGGTCAACACCAAACACCTATGCACACCCTGTGGCGCACATTAACCAACTTCAAAACAATGGCAAAGCCATTGAAGTAGCCTGCCGAGCGGACAGCCCAAAACATTTCAATTTGTACATTGTTATTCTTAGTCTTGTTCCAGTTGCTGGAATATTCTTATATTTGGGTATCGAATTGCTGGCACTTGTCAGGTCTTTCATAAATAAAGGGCTTGTTAGATAGTCGGTGAGTGTGTGGAACATCTGGGAACAAGTGCTGCTGATAAAACAGCTCAAGATCGCGCGTTATCAAAGTCATTCACTGGCTCATAACTAATTGTTGTCAGCTCCAATATCCTGGGAAGCTGATAAGATGTTATATGGATGCATGTTCCTTGGGGATGTAGCACCTAATAAATACATGTTTATTTATTACTACAAATTGCTTGGGAATTGTATTTGAAGATTTATAGATTGGGCCTATTTATTGGGAATATTTATTCCTATAACTATTTTCATTCTTTGTATTTATATTTTTTGTGTTCATAATTTCAATTATATTTTATTTGAATACGAACAAATATATATATTATTTAATTTTTATTTTTATTTATTATATTTTTAATTTTAATATTTATTACTTAGTATTATTTTTATTTATTACATCTTTAAAATTTATTATTAATTATTATATTTATGAGCTTGTGTGTGTACCGATAGCTCGTGACACGTAGCGAATATTTTGTTTTACTCCCAACTCTAGCAATTTGATGAATCACCCTGTGTTGCCTACGAATTAAAATTATGTTTGCTGTTAAGTCGTGATACTCTAGTAATCTGCAATAAATAGAACTTCTCCAGAGGACAATGGAGGACTCTTGGAATATTCAAGAAGCCATGCTATCGGATGTGCTCGTGTCCAATGTCTACAATCAGTTTTTCCAGCAGAATCAAATGCTATTCAAGGATAAGGTCTTTTAAAGTCATTTAATAGACAGCAGTTCATATAGAATATTATTCCCTAGATTGTGCTGGATGTGGGCTGTCGTAGTGGCTTGCTGAGCATCTTGGCTGTTGAGGCCGGTGCTGTGAAGGTCTTTGCCATTGGCAACATGCAAAGTGCCAAACGTATTTCGAAGGTCTTGGAGAATGGAGAGAAGGCGGAGGTTTTTGAGCCGCTGACTGGCTGCATTACCCAGGTCGTCTTGCCCTGTGGACTGAGGAAAGTGGATATAATAGTCTCCGAGTGGATGGGGTAGGGATTCTTTGCTTATAGATATCAATTAAAGTTTTTTCAGTTATTATCTATTGAAGGCATGCCCTATTTGCGGACTCCCTATTCTGCCAGGTGCTATACGCGCGTGATAAGTGGCTGGTGAAGAATGGCCTAATCTTTCCCAGTGTGGCCAATCTCTATATACAGGGCATATCCCTAGATCGAGAGCTGGCCGTTGAGAAAAACGTGCTATTGTGGGACGACTATGTGAATCAGAAATCGTTGATGACAGAGAAGTGCCTGGTGATATCTGTGGACCTCAGTTCGATTCAAGATGACATTGAATGCCAGAGAGCCGAGATCAAGATGAAGTCCAAGCAAAGTGGAAAGATGTCTGGGTGCGTGCTCTACTTTGACATATCCGCTAGAAATGCCAAGGGCCAGCTGCAGAAGCTGTTCTCGATTGCGCCAAACGCGCCCAGGACGTACATGATGCAAACAGTCCTATTTCTGAAGGACGACCCCCTGGTGATCAAGGAGCAGCAGCTTCTGTTTGGACGGCTGGACGTGATCCTTGGCTACTTTGCACCGCGCGGCGTCGAGTTCTCTCTGGGCATATGGGCAGTCAAGTAAAGCAAGTAAAACATTGTACTTAATAAAGGGTAAATGCTGGGGCGAATCCTAAAACTGATGTCTGATGCCCAATGTCCCGATGTCTGATGTCTGATGTATTCATGGCAATATTTGGGCGTTCTTTGGGCAGTTCGCATTAAAGGCCAACACGTCGATCTGGGTGAAGTCTGAACGAGCAGCGATGCTCCGCTCAACGATCGTTGAGCCAGATCACAATTTATGGCCGTGCTGCATCAATTAGGGCGGTAGCCCGACGACTGCCAACTCAGCAGACAATGGGCATTGCGATTTTGTTTTTGCTGACCTGATCGGTGTTTAGCTTTGACGTCGCTACAACGATTTAAAATGATGTCGCGCATAATTCACCGATCGAGTACGAGATCGATTCAGTATTCAGCGATCAGCGTTCACGTTTCGCCAGACTTTGCGTCGTGCTAGGGCTCCAGCCTCTTATCTGGGCTCGGTTCGTTCGCTCTGTTCGCTGTGTCTGATCTGTGCCCTCGTTTACAGTTAAGTTCTTTTGTTCAAATCTCATAACTGATCGTCGATCGCACTTGGTTAACGCTCCATACAAGGCAGAGTACAATGGCATATCAGCTTGTCCGGCTCGCTGCGAACACAAATTCGCCTTTTAAATGATATCCCTTGGAGAATCGATCCACTGACCGCTCTCAGCGCTCAGCTCTCAGCCCTCAGCTCGCATGCTTAAGTGACATTTTGCGGGACGTGGGTCTGTGATGGATTAGCATCATTTTGCCGTGAGGATAATGTGTCGTCTGCAATGATTTTGGTTGACATGTTTTGGTTTTTGTCTCTTCTCTTCTTATTTTTATTTTATTTATTTTTTTGGCAGAGCCTGTTCTCGGAAATAATTATGCTGCTTTTGCGCAAAAGTAACAGCATTTTTGTACAAATTGCATAAAAATTTAAATTGGCCAGCAAAAGTTTTTGATTTTCGCGGCGAGCCCAGAAAATTGCTTAATAATGAAATGCCAATGGATTAAGCGCAATTTGTGCGGTATGCGGCATTCCGCATGGGGCATGCAGCGGGTCTCACTGATCCGTGCCACTCACCGAATTCCACTCTAAAGCTCCCTTTTCTTTTTCTTCTCCTTCTTCTTCTCTTCGTTTTGGATAAACAATTGCCCGCCCCCTCCCCAGCCCCCGTTCAGCAGCTTGATTTGCTGAAATTTTATTTTATTTTACACCTACCCTGACCGCCATAAAACGTCCGTCTCATTCTAGCACAGGTGAGCCGCCACTCTCCCTCTCCCTCTCTCTGTCCTTCTTATGCTTTTGGGTTTCAGCATTTCGCACGCTCGCCTTGCA